TGTTGATAGTTGATAAGCTTTTACTTTTCTCTGTGTAATGACCCGATGACCGTCTCTTTAAGACTGGATAAATCTCATAATTTGATTTTATAACAGGCATCATAAAAGCCATCGTAAGTAAGTAAGTAACAGAGAGATGGTTTGAAGTAATAAACAGTTTCTGAGCTAAATTCGTCCGAAATATAAATTTAAATGCTGAAATTTTCTCAACCGAGCAATTAATTGATATTTTATTGTAAAAGTTTCATAGAAGACAGGAACACGAACAGTTACTATCAGAGTTGGAAAAGCTCTTAACGTCGATCTTTCATGAATGGTTGTATTAAACTGTTGGGCATGCAAAAGAGTTGAATATATAAATACTTACCTTCACGTGACGAGACTGTGGAATCCAGCCAAGTGGAAGGCGCCAGTCTTGATGTATATATATATATCATTTACGTCATACTCTAGCACGGACTTGTATTACACATCAACGAGCGACCCCCGTGAAGCTGCCATTTAACAACACACTAATCATTTATATATATTATATAGTACAGATGGCTGATATGAGTATTAAAAACTTTTATTTAAAAACACAAAATGAGTTACAACGTTTCGACCTCCTTAGGTCATCATCAAGTTAAGAATGAGATTTGGGAAAGTGATCATTATACACCAGGACACGGTTCGGGGTCTATATTGATCGTGTTTATTTTGACGAGTAAACAAACCAGCATGTGGATTTTGACAAGGTATGGAGAAGGTGCTTAAATATCCATCTGTATACCTTCAAATTACTTTGTTATGTTGAATCATTCGAAATATTTTGTAACTTTAAGTTAAATTTATGGAATCATTATGAAACAGAGCATTGAAGCCAATAATTACCAGTTACATTATATTATCACCCAATAATTATAGGCCTATTAGTCTTACATCAGTTGTGGAAAAAGTTTAGAAAAGTCTGATAAAAGATACTTTGCAAAATCACTTAACGAAGTTTAGAATTTTATTTGATAGTCAACATGGTTTCACTAAGGGAAAATCTTACCTTACCAATCTTTTGACATTCTTTGAAAAGGTTACTGCTTATGTAGATGAGGGTAATGGCGTAGATTTGGTGTATATGGATTTTCGGAAAGCATTGGACAGTATTAAGGTTATTTCCATCCAAATTGTACTTATAATTCAAATTATGGTAACCCACATGCTTTACTTGCATATATTATAATTAAAACCCATCTGCCGTTTATTCACCCAACTCACTAAATGATCTAATTCCATTTGTAAAGCAGCAACATCCTCTTCACAGCTAGAAACACCTAAGGCCTTAATATTATTTACAAATTTAAGTAATTTATTGCCCCTTCCTTCATCTATGTCATTGATGTAAATAAAAAAGCAAAGGTTCTAAGACTGTAGACCTGAGGTAT